TAGTCAATTATAAATACTCTTAATAGGGCCACATGATATTAACTTTGTTGACAATAATAAAATAATAAATTTATCAACAATGATTATTAAAAATGAATATAAGGGGAAAAAAGATATTGAATCTTTATGTTGCCAATAATAATATAATAAGCAATAAACTTTTAATTCAATTTTGTTGCCTAGCTCGACAGAAAACAACTTTTTACAAGCCAGCTGGTGGTTGTTTGACTTTTGGCATAGAGAATGCAAGGAGAAAGCTTTACCTTTTCTACGAAAAAAAGCATGAAATTAGACAGTTTAATTTAAAAAAAATAGATATAGATAAAAAAATGGATACAGTAAGAAGCAGTATTTAATTTGATATATGAAATCAATCTCTGTTCTTACTGTTTGTTAAGAGGGATCTCTTGGAGGAGTCAATGAAAGGGAAATATCAAATTATAAATTCTATTGATTGCGTATTTGATTTAAAGGAGTTAGATTTGGTTTATGTTGCAATTAAGAGAGAAACACAGATGAAAACCCAACTGTTTCCTGTTGTTTAATGAAAAGCTATGGATTTTGGGTTGAAGTTTTGTAACTGTTAATCCTCGTGGTTGTTTTCCTCAAGTGCTTTTGACTCGTTAGCCTTTGTCTTTCTTCTTGTAATCTTCTTCAAAAATTGGCTTTTGACTTCCAAATATGGCTTCTTTTCAGTGGGTTTTGCCCCTGTATTAGTTTCCTTCTTGTGGTTTTGAAATGAGTCTCTCGATTGAATCCCATTTGGCCGAATTTAGGGCTTTCTTTGATCTGAATACAACGCTTAAAGTTGGCAAATTGAACCCACTTAGTTGAAAAAAGATTTGGGTTTTTTTGTCAGATGTGTTGAAAAATAAAAACCCTTTCTTTTTTTGTGCTGAATCTTGAGCCTGTCAGTCTCAAATTTGCAGCTTTGATGCATTTGTCACTGTGGAAACCCGTTGCTCAATGTGCTTCTCTGATCTTAGACAAGAAGGGCAAGAGAAAGGACGGGTTCAATTCTCCGTAAACTCCATGAAAACAAGCTCAGGGAAGCTCTGGAAGAGGCTTCTGAAGAAGGGTCTTTGTTCAAGTCCCAGGGCATCGACCCCGATTCACTAGCCGATCAAGATGACAGCTTGGGACGGTCGAGATCCCTCGCAAGACTCAATGTGCACCGCGAATTCTTGCGAGCCACCGCCCTCGCCGCTGAGCACACATTTGAGAGCGAAGATTCCATCCCTGATGTCTATGAGGCATTCAGCAAGTTCCTCACAATGTACCCAAAGTACCAGTCATCAGAGAAGATTGATCAAGTGAGGGAAAATGAGTATTCACATTTGTCACCCAAGGTATGCCTTGATTATTGCGGATTCGGGCTTTTCTCTTATGTTCAAACTTTGCATTACTGGGAATCCTCAACGTTTAGCTTGTCTGAGATGACTGCAAATTTTTGTAATCATGCACTTTATGGTGGTGCTGAGAAAGGCACTGTGGAGTATGATATAAAGAGTAGGATAATGGATCACTTGAACATTCTTGAACATGAATATGGCCTTGTGTTTACTGTAAGTAGGGGGTCTGCCTTTAAGTTGCTGGCCAATTCATATCCATTTCAAACAAATAAGAAATTGTTGACAATGTTTGATTACGAGAGTCAATCTGTAAATTGGATGGTTCAGAGTGCCAGGGAAAAGGGTGCAAAAGTTTACAGTTCTTGGTTTAAATGGCCAACTCTTAAACTTTGTTCCACTGATTTGAGAAAGTGGATTTCGAATAAAAAGAGGAGGAAGAAGGATTGTGCTACTGGCCTTTTCGTTTTTCCGGTGCAGTCTAGAGTAACGGGGTCTAAGTATACTTACCAGTGGATGGCATTGGCTCAGCAGAACAATTGGCATGTCTTGCTCGATGCTGGTTCATTGGGTCCCAAAGACATGGATTCACTTGGCCTGTCGTTGTTTCGTCCATATTTCATTATCACATCATTCTACAGAGTGTTTGGATATGATCCAACTGGATTTGGATGCCTTCTTATAAAAAAATCAGTTATGGGAAGCCTTCAGAACCAGTCTGGATCAACTGGTTCTGGAATGGTGAAGATTACCCTTGAGTACCCTCTCTATCTGAGTGATTATGTAGATGATCTTGATGGGTTGGGTGGAATCGAGGAAAATGAAGTTGGTGCGAATGATGATAAGCCCTCAGAAAACCGTCCAGGAACGCAGCTGCCTGCTTTTTCTGGTTCGTTCACATCCGCTCAAGTTCGGGATGTATTTGAGACGGAAATGGATCAAGATAATAGTACCGACAGATATGGTACAAGCACCATATTTGAAGAAAGCGAGAGTATTTCTGTTGGAGAAGTGATGAAAAGCCCCATCTTCAGTGAAGATGAGTCATTGGACAACTCATTCTGGATTGATTTGGGTCAGAGTCCGTTGGGGTCTGACAGTGCAGGTCATTTGAATAAGCAGAAAATATCCTCCCCGTTGCCACCGTTTTGGTTCAGTGGCAGGAAGAACCACAAGCAGCTCTCTCCAAAGCCAACATCGACAATATATAGCAGCCCGATATATGATGATAAAGATCTTAACCTGGGGCGTGATGATCAACATGTGTTATCATTTGATGCTGCCGTCCGATCAGTTTCACAGGAACTGGACTGCATGAAGGAGATCCCCAGTGAAGCACAATTTGCAGGAACTCATAAGAAGGCTTCAGATCGTTCACATCTTCTGGAAATCCAGGAAGAACAGGATACCAGCAAATCACTGGCTGTGGAGTCTGTATCTAATTCTTCCGTCTTTCGGAATAATGGCCTAGCAAATGGCTCAACATCGGAAATTAAAGATAGTGCCATTAGAAGAGAATAGTGCCATTAGAAGAGAATAGTGCCATTAGAAGAGAAACAGAAGGTGAATTTAGGTTGCTGGGGAGGAGGGAAGTAAATAAATATAACGGTGGTAGATTTTTTGGGTTAGAAGATGATCATTCTAGTAGGGGAAGAAGGGTCTCCTTTAGCATAGAGGATAGTCGTAAAGGGAACACTAGTTGTACTTTGGAGTCAGGAGAAGCATCTGGGACCAGCCTTGATAATGAAGAATACACCAGCGATGGAGAATATGGTGACGGACAAGATTGGGACAGGAGGGAGCCCGAGATATCTTGTCGGCATCTTGATCACATTAACATGTTAGGGCTCAATAAAACCACTCTTAGATTACGATTTTTGATTAATTGGCTTGTAACGTCGTTACTGCAGCTCAAATTACCCAATTCAGTTGGAGATAGAAGGGCGAATCTTGTTCACATATATGGCCCAAAAATAAAGTATGAAAGGGGTGCAGCAGTGGCTTTCAATGTGAGGGATCGAAGCCCGGGACTTATTAATCCAGAGATTGTACAGAAGTTGGCTGAAAGAGAAGGTATCTCTCTTGGTATAGGTATCCTCAGTCACATACGAATATTAGATAGTCCACGACGAGTGGTTTCAAACCTTGAGGATACAATTCTGTGCAGACCGATGGAAAATGGTCAACATAACAGGAAAAGTGGGTTCGTTAGAGTTGAAGTTGTTACAGCGTCACTCGGCTTCCTTACTAATTTTGAGGATGTATATAAGTTGTGGGCCTTTGTGGCAAAGTTCCTTAACCCGGAATTCATCAGAGAGGGTACACTTCCAACTGTCGCAGAAGAAGAATCTGAGACAACTTCTGAAATTTAGTAATTCAAAATCATTTGCTAAATTATCTGGGAGTCTGACCGGAAGATTCGGAAGTCCCTGGAGAGGATTTGGAGGTACTAATATATGCATTCCATGCTCATGTCAACTCATGTTTATTGTTGCTTGAAATTTTCTCTTATTTGGGCTTGCTCTCGTACAGTTAGTTTCAGAAATATGTACCATTTTGGATGTTACTGTGACCTCAAAGCAGTGTACAAGAACAGAACTATTACCTCTTAGAATCTATGTTCAATTTGTTCTACGTTTTTTTATTATGTATTTGGTAGGTTATTGGTGAATCAAATCCCTACACCTACGTCGATATATGTTTCGGATATTTGCATTTCAAGGAAAATGAAGAGCTGAAGTAACATCTTAGAATTCTGCTCTAGGTTGATACACATTTCAAATTTCCCCTGTAGAAAGAAAACGCTAAGTTTATCCTCTGCAGTTCAATTCTGATATGTGATTTGTTGTAGAAAGACAAACTTTAGAGTAGTGTCAAATTACAGTGCATGAAAGTGTTGGGAAATCTCGAGGGCAGGTGCTGGTGCGTAAAACACATTTGTTTCGTGCTGCTAATTACAGGGAAAGGATTGCAGATGTCGCATTCCAAATCTTAAGACTCGAAACGATCTGCTAATTGCAGGGAAAGGATTGCAGATGTCATAATCAAATCTTAAGACTCGAATCGATCGATGGCATCCTTTACTGATTGCTGTATGATGCAAAGCCACACCAAGAAATTGGATGTATCAATCACAATTTAAAGGCTAACCAATTCAAGAGCCTGATAGATTTCCTTTTCTAACAAGTAATTATCAAAGATTGGGCCATATCCATTGAGTTCTGTTTCCCATTTTTCTGAAAAAACCAAAAAAAGACGAATGCTTTAGTGGGTTTTCTTAATTCAAATTTGATGCTGCGAATATGAAAATATTTTTAGTGGAGAAGGGAAAAAGGATCATATCTTGCCACTAAAATGAGCATTTTATATTTCGTTAAACAATTGGCTGCTTTTAGCCAAAGCTGAACCTGTTGGGTAAAAGGCAGAATCCAAATCAATAAATACAAACAAATCAGAATAATAACCCTATTGACAACATCATTTAACTCAAATCAAGGTAAAGATTAAATGATATGATTTTGAATTTAAATTGAGAGTAATTAATCCAACCGCAATATATGACCCTTATCCGTTAAGGATTTGAAATGAAAATTCAATCTTTGCAATTACTTTCTTCTATGCCAAAAAAAACTTTTTTTTTCCATGGAGACCATGCCTTTTGGACAATTGGATGAATTACTTACACAGAGGGTGAGCGATTTAATTCATCTGCTTGCCAAATGAGAATACTTGGTGGACTGATCTCTCTCTCTTGAACCAAACGAAACAAGGGAATTCATTGATTGTTGGACCACTTTTGAAGAAGACCATAGCTTGGAACTTGTTTGACTTCACTTTTCAAAGCTCTGCTCACTGTTAATTTCTTCAACATTGGCTTCTCATCTCGGTAGACGCCATCGGCCACACCATTTCTTTAAGGTAGTCGTTGAAGATGCTACTCGGAGTGGCAAAGTTTTAAGTCTGTTTTCTTTCTGAAAGATTTTTGTTTTGTCTAATTTCAATGAGAATCTGGGTTTTTGCCATTTGATAATGTCTGCAGTTTAGTTAAACAGGGGATTCCTGCTAAATTTGCAAGAGATTATGGGATTTTTCTATCAAACCCAGTGTTCATTAAGGTCCCAAGTGGAAAAATCTGGGAATTAGAATTGGTAAAATGTGGTGGCAAAATGTGGTTTCGAAATGGTTGGCTAAACTTTGCAAAGCACTACTCGGTGGAGACTGGACATTTTTTGGTTTTCAGATATGAAGGGGGTTGCCATTTCCATGTCATCATATTGGATCGAACCGCAACGGAGATCAAATATCCAGACGTTGACCAAGAAGTGAAGGTTGAAGAGTCCGACGATGACGATGAGCTTGTAAACATCGCAAATGGAATCTCTAATGGCTCGAGAGACAAGCCGGGGCTGCAATGTCCTCGGCCTCATAAGATGTGAGACCAAATGTTCCCAAGTTCAAACATGTGCCTGCAGGGTCTTGGGCTGGAACGAGTGAAACAACATAGAGTACGAGATCTGATGAAAAATATAATGCTTTACAAACAGTTAGCCGTGCCATCAAGTCCACGTATCCATTCTTTTTTGTTTTCATGCAACCAAGTTATGTAGGTCCTATTACCAACCATAGCTGTTCAGTGGTAAGTTACTAAAACTATGCTGGATTTCAATGTTGCCACTGTGTATGTGTTAATTTCTCTTGTGTTTTATGCTACATCTTTGCTGGGAATACCAAAGGACTTTTCCAGGTTATATCTCAAGGACATTTGATGTTGTGATGGTTAGAATAACATGAATTTGATACAAAGAAGTTGAATTCATGTTTGAAATTGAACAAAAAGTCGGCCATAGGAAGAAATTAAGGGAAAATATTGAAAAAATTTCTTATGATCTAGAATTGATATTGGATGTGTTCCATGTGATTTGGAGATTGATTTGGATCAATTTGGAAGCTTTAATTGGAAAAAGGGCTAGTTTTCAAGTTGTGAGAATTGTAGGACATTATTGAATAAATGTGCAATTTGAGGTACTCAAAGTTAATTTATAATGATTATATGCTGGAATTTTAAGTTAGGGAGTTGTTTGGAACCAAAATGGCTAGTTTTCAAGTTGTGAGAATTGTAGGACATTATTGAATAAATGTGCAATTTGAGGTACTCAAAGTTAATTTATAATGATTATATGCTGGAATTTTAAGTTAGGGAGTTGTTTGGAACCAAAATACAAATTTGGTAAAATCCAATGGTGGAATTCGAAAAGTCCTTGAAGTTTAGGACTTGATTGTAAGTTTATTAAATGTGGAAGTATCATTTGAGTAAAATGTTGTAATGCTGGAAATTTTATTAGTATGCTGATTTTTTAGTTTAAATGTGGAGATGGGATCAAATTGAAAGTTTATAAAGGTGGATGATTGAATTCGAAATGTCTAATAAACTTTGGGATGAAATTTCAAGTTTTTGAGTGTTAAAGTATTGATTTGAGTATTTTATTGAGGTGTTGGAAATTTTAGTAATTAATGTGCAATGATTATAATGATGAATGATCATTATGAATTTAATAGAAAAATTAAGGTAAATTCTAAAAAGAATTCATAATTAGTGGTTTAATCATGCAATTGACAAAAGTTGAAAGGTGATGATTGAAATAAATATTTATGAAATTTAATGAGAAGTTTGGAATTATAATAGAAATACGATTTAGTTTTACATCGATTAATTATCAATTTTATATATATAGATTTATATATTATTTAGTTTAGATTATGTTAGTTTGATACTAATATATAGTTTGAATATTTTGTGTTATTGTGCGATGTTGTCAGACCACGATAAATCTAACGATCCGAACTACCTGAAAGGAAAGGAAAAAGCCCAGGAATATGAGTTTTGTATAAAGGTTCGGTAGTGAGGCTAAGGTGAGTGCAATTTATTTATTTAATTATTATGATCAATGATGACTTGCGATAAGTAAACCTCATATTATTTTAAAGTATGATTTATGATTTTAATTTTGGATTATTTTCATAATGTTTTCATCATGTTTTATGAATGATTTAGGGTATGAACTGTCCAAGTACGATTTTTATGATGATAAATTTTAAATGTTTATGATTTCAATCCGATTAATAAATGATCATATTATGATTTATAAGCTCATTGTATATCGCATTGAGAGTCGTAAGTATATTTGACATGTTATTAAGTTAAGTACTTTGAAGTTAAGATACGAAACCTTTGTGTACATTATGTATTGCACCGTTGGTGCTCATGTTATGATTTGCACTTGAAGTGCATCTTATGATAAGTTATGATTGGCACCGTGATGTGCCTAACGTGCACCTTATATTCTACTCACGTATCTTATATTCTCTTAAATATACATTAGGCTATGAAATGAGTATGAAAGTCATGAATATGTTATGTTGGCACGAAATATAATATGATTATTGAATCTGACAATGTTTTCATGTTTTGAAATAAGATTATGGGATGATATAAATTTTCAGATTTACAATAAAGAAATTAGCTTGAATAAGTCGGTTTAAAAGTTTAACGTTTTATTCAAATTATTAATGTTCTATTTTATTTAAGATGATTTTTATGTTTTTCTCACATTAGCTTATCACTGTCTCACTAAGTTATACTTAGCACGTTATGATTTTCATGCGTAGGTTTGGACAAAGAATAGGACGTGCAGTGAGGAGCCTCCCGAGCCTCTTTTTGGAGATCGTCTATACTATCAATATCAGTAAGACATCTACGATGTTACTTTTGACTTTTAGTTGCATGTATAATTATGTCAGTAGTTATATTTATCGAATTTGATTTTAAATAGCTTGTAAAAGTAAACTAAGATCATTTATTTTATCTAGTTTAGTTATATCAATATTTATGAATTAGTAGAATATATATATTATTATGTTTAAATAGTTCAAAAATTTAACAGAGTTTAGGTAATTCTAAATAGTTCACGAAATAGCACTAAATTGTCAAATTGTTGCCTTGAAATTGGATCAATTTTCAATGATTAATTATGATTTTATGATTTTATGAAAATAATTTTAAAGTTGAATAGGAATGTTATTAAAATAAAACAAAATTGTAAGTACTTATGCTCCATGAATATTTGTCAAGTTGATGTAACATCTTTAGTTTGTATTTCGAGATATATACAGGTTATGGGTGTTATATATAAAGATTATTTAATAAAAAATTAAAATTTAAAAGAGTACTTCTAAACCAACTTTTTTATCAATAAGTAACCATATATCTTATAATTCATCAGGGATATCACCATGATTTTCTTTTTGAAGACCACCTATTTAATAAAAAAATATTTTGTTCTATAGTGAAAAAATTATTTATAAATAAATTCAATATTGAAATTACCTTAATAATAATGAGAAGACAAATGACTGATTCACGATCGGTCATAAAAAAAGGCATGTGATTCCACTCCAACGATTGGAGAAGAACAAGACACTCGTTAATAGTAGTTTTATTATAATTCGTTACCCGACACATTTCTCTAAACAAAAATCTCAAAACTGTAGAGCCCCAACTCAACATGTCGGCTACTTCAAAATCAATGAGGTGATGTAACCACATACAATGAACTTGGTTGTGAGATTTATCGGACATCAAGATCCCTCCTATGATTCGTAAAAAGTAGGCCCGAGTAAATTCTTTTTGACTCATCCTCGGAACAATTTTCGTTCAACTCTTAAAAAGTGGATTACATCCATGATATTCGACCACCGTTGAACTCCATCTGAGAAGCTCTAAGATACTCCATGCACAAAGAATGTCACTCACCGTTTGCCACACCATAAATAACAGCTCCATTTATCGGAAGCCCCAAATGCATTGAAACATCCTCTAGGGTAATGGTGCAGTTCCCACATAGAAGATGGAATGTGTGTATCTCTACTCTTCACCTCTCGATTAGTGTAGAAATGAGGGTGAGCTCAAGTTTACAGCCTCCAATAATTTTATTATATAACCAAATCCAGCCTTAGATAAATACTTCCATATACGACGTCGTGTGTTAATCTTATAATTACAAATAAACACTTCTAATATACGATTATTTTCTTAATTAATAAGCATTATATGAATTAAAATTTGAAATAATATTAAAAAAATATTGAAATAGATAAAAAATTAAAAAATTAAAATAATATAATTAAATATTTTTACCATACGGTCAAATGACTCGAAATATTATTTGCATCCAATCGCATCATTCCGCCTTCTATTATATAACTGCTGGAAAAATTAGTAATTACAATTAATAAATAAAATAATAAAACATTCAATAAATATATTAAGGGAATAAAAACAACAAATTTATACCTTCAGAAAATATTCCCGATGACCAACCAACTTAAAAGAAATAAATAAAGAGAAAGATATATTTTATTAGGGAGAAAGATGATAGATTTTTTTGGGTGTGATTAGTTTAGAAATGGGGATGGGTTTATATAGAAGTTGGGGGAGGGATTTGGGAGGGTAATATGGGTGGGATTTGTGGGCGAGAGAAGGGGAATGTATACCTTGTGCAATGCGCCTTCCAGCTGGCAGTCAAAACCTTGCGAAGACGCAGCCCATGCAAAGCGCCTTCTATCGTGGAGTGCCATATCATCAAATACCCTGGAAAGCACGTCCCCTGTAATGCGCCTTTGTACATCACGAAACGCACTTCCCATTTATTTTGTACAAAAGAGTGTTAGTTTGGTATATATTTGGGAATGTGTACTAAATCGATACTGTTGGGATTTGTGGAAGCTTGAATCGACAACCGAATCGGTTTGCAAAGAGGGGTCGGAACGGTTTTTGTGTTTAGGTAGTAGGGAGATTGAAAGATAGAGAATTGCACAGTGATTTAGAGTGGTTCGACTTCTCAACCAAGTCTACATCCACTATCTTAGCTGCTTACCAAGGATTTCCAACAAATTCACTAATTTGTTCTTTCTTTTTAAGGACAAAAATATAACCTTTACAACTCCCTAGTTTTTCACGGGATAAACTATAACCTTTCCCTAGCTTTTACATGGGCTTAGCTAGAACTTTTTCCCTTAACAAAAGGATAAAAGAAGTAAACAAATAGACCTCTCAAAGGTAGGTGTTTACAAGAACTAAGCTCACAAGAACAAATATTTACAAGAGAAAGGAAAATAAGAATAAAAAATTATTCTCTTTTGTTTGATTGCTTGGATAGTTGTTCTCATGCTTCTTCAAGTGTCATCAGCTTGTATTTATAGCTTGAATTGAGTTTGAAGTCATATATAGCCGTTGGGGATGTTTTGGAGCCGTTTGGGGATTGTTTTTCTGTAAAACTAGGTTGCCCATAACAGAGAGCATCGATACCCCTTCATAGGGTATCGGTACACCTTCATTAAATTCAAATTAAACTAGACGTTACTAGTCGTTGCAGCCTTA